ATTGACAGATCTCCAACCAATAGAAACACTTTCGTACCATCGTATCATCTGTCAATTCGTCCGTCGTCGTACGAATTGACAGATCTCCAACCAATAGAAACACTTTCGTACAAACGGATGCATGGGACACGGGCTTTATCCGTTCAGAGCAACTAGTGAAGGTAAACTATAGAAATTTCCGAATTTTTGATAAAGCTTTTTAGTTGCTCCACACTGTCGAAATCAGTAAAATGCAACCCCGTCAAGCGTTCTTTCGTTTGGAAAAACGTTAATAACATTTTTCTGTTCTAGTGGTGCTTCAGATGACTCAGAAATAAACACGTCCGTTCTGAGACGCGGTTATCGGTTCTTGGGTAGAGTGGTGCGAGCATCAGTGCCAATCCAAGCGCTGATGCTTCTGATGTTGGGCGCAGCCTCGCTAGTGCCTTACTCAGAAGACGACTACGCCTGTTCTCTAGTCAATTCGATTGCAAACAGTTTGACGCCGACTTTGAGGTACAATGAGGGCAATCCGCCGATTTAATCCGGCCCCCGTCGGGTGGCAGGCGGGAAATTCATTCCATTTCTTTGATACTTTGTTACTGGATGAGATTTTCGTTTAGATTGTTAATTTTTATAGACTTTTTGATATTTGTTGTTTTGTACCGGTGTTGTAAATAAGACAGTTGTGTTATTTGCCAATATTGAGTTTCTTGCCTCTGCAGGCGCTACCTACTTAGCATGTAGTTTTTTATATGAATAAGAGAATGTAAATGTCTTTATTTGTATATTGGGAAGTACGCACACGAATATATTACGAACTTAATATATATTTTATACTGTTGATTTATATGATGGTTGTGTAGTAGGAACACGCAGATGTTGATTAAGAATGTACCGCGATGAAAACGAGCTCTCCACGTTTTTGCGCAGTTTGTTCTCTACCTGAAAGCGAACAACTCTCCAGTTCGCTTCAGGGTTGTAGAGATGTGAAGCTCATTTTTGGAATATTCTACAGCCAACTCTCCAAAGCTGTAAAATAGCACGCATTAAATGCGAGCGGATTCTCCCATTTTCTCGCTGCTGATGCACCCAAAAGTGAGCTCCACAGAACTCTTATATAATATTAGCTTATTTGTTGCTTAATCCATTTTATATTCCGCTCTTAGAAAGCTTTTCGTTTTTGAGCTAAACTCACCCACGTATTTTAAAACGCGGATAAGTACTAACACTCCACTAAGTATATTAAGCGCTTTCAACTTGTTATCTTTATTTACTTGTAGGTACTTAAAAGCTGGATTGTTTTCTTAAGAATTGTACCCGATTAGTTATGTATCTTTATTTAAAATATATCATTGAAGAATTCGTTTGGGCTTTTATCCGACATAATTCTAAGAAAGATGGAAGAAAGGGCAAATAGTAGACAGTGGGAAACATTCAAAGTAAAGTGAATAGGCGATAAATAGCCTAAAATAATCATGAAAGCGCAACGATGAATGATGAATGAACAGAAAAAAGTACGATTTTTCCTCCTCCTGGACTGGGATTGAATAAATTCTATTGGTTTTTTTCGTCACTAATTTTCAAGAGAAAAATAATACTTTAAAAGAAATGCGAGATTTCTCGAGCGAACAACGCCACAAAAGGCCATGTTCGGTCGATTTCGCAATTTAAAAAGAACAGAAGACTAAAACTACTCTGGATCGGTTCTTCAGATGGGCTTCGTATTGAAGCCGCCCAAAATACTCCCAAAGTTCAATGGATATTTTTTGAGAGTTCACGATCTTTAACCGACGATTTCCGCCTTATTATTGACCCAAACGTTTTATAAATGCACATTTGTGACCTTCTTACGTCAAAAGGAATCGAATGAGCTCAAAAAACACGCATGTGAAATTTTGATTTTTGGCCGAAATTTTTCTAAGGGTGGGGGTCGATTTTTTGAAAAAATTGAAATTTTTCCAAAATGTCTTAAATTTTACATCATTTTCGTCTCCCGGACGCGAAGAATGCATCGAACTGATTAAAAAACATGCTAGAAGTTTCGGATCCGAAATAATAAACATTTTCGGCAAATTTTACTCGTTTTTTGATCGGTCGCGATCTTTAACCGACAATTTCTGCATTATTATTGACCCAAACGCTTTATAAATGCACATTTGTGACGTTCTTACGTCAAAAGGAATCGATTGAGCTCAAAAAACACGCATGTAAAATTTTGATTTTTGGCTGAAATTTTTCTAAGAGTGGGGGTGGGTTTTTGAAAAAAATTAAATTTTCCCAAAATGTCTTAATTGTACATCACTTTCATCTGACGGACCCGAAGAATGCTTCGAACTGATTAAAAAACATGCTAAAAGTTTCAGATCCGAAATAATCGATATTTTGGACAAATTTCAGGCGTTTTTCTTACCTTCTTACGTCAAAAGGAATCGATTGAGCTCAAAAAAACACAATTTTTCACCCTTAAATATGACGAGAAAAAATCCAAAAAACTTTTGCTGTGCGTCACAAACCGCCAAACCTGTCAAACTATTCCCTTGACGTACTTCCGTAAGACATATAGGGATCTTTCCATTCGCAAGTTCAAAAGTCAAAACGCCCACTGACTGCTAAGTTATGACTGCACCCTACTGGTAACCACAGATTACAGAGTGATCTGATTACCTCTGTGATCTGTGCTAGTAACATTTGGCACTTATTTTGATTAGATGTCATTGTGATTGGTTTGGTTTAGTGCTACTCGCCTTTTGCAAGCCTGTAAGTATTGTTTTACGTTTTAAACTTAAAAACAAACGTTGAAATAAGCGATGTCACCACTGTATTCGTGATTTTTGCGGTAACAATTGCCGGCGATGTTTACGTTTCGGCAGCTGAATTAACGAACATTTAGCGCGCACCAAAAATAATCCACTTCTTGATTGATTGAAGTTCAAACGACACTCACTTTCAAGTCTGCTAGATTTTCCCTGTATACCCAATTAAAATCACCGGTTTGTACAAAAACAATAGTGACGTAGGTGCGTTCAGGCTGGCCAACTTCACTTGCTCCACGGAGTGAGAAATGGCGGCAACTTCAAACTGGCAAAATCAAACAACTTGACTAGAAAAATCGGTCTTTATTATAAGAAATTAAAGCACGCTTGGTACAGCAATTTCTCTAGATCCACAATTATTGTAGAATGCTGCTGAAAGTGAAAAATTCAATGACAAAACAATCAGTTTCAAATATAATTCTAATTATCGCTGGAGGTGGTGGTGGGTGGTGTTTTTTGAGAGGGTGATATGATGAATTTACTTAACACAACAAAAATAAGTAGAAAAACAATGGCACTCATGGACCGAGCCATGGTAGATGGTTGATGTCACTAGTAACCTTTCTAAACATAATGATGCTAAAATACTCTGATCTGTAAGTAATCTACACTTATGGCATTCATTCAGTACTCCCAGTCGCTCGACTGCACACATTCATTCGCTGCGAGTTTCACCAACTAAATTATGGTTTTTTTCCCTCGCCCTCCAAACTAATACAACCCTGAGTGTTGGAAGTTGCAATGCCAAACTGGCAGGAAATCAGGCCGCTCCGAAGAGGCGCTCACATTCAACACTTGTAAGCGCCACTTTGGAGCCGCCCGCCGTGCGTTAAATGAATCACTGGGCACATGCAAGAACAATTGGGATTTCGTCGGACAAAGTCCTTAATAATTATTATTTGGGAAGATAAATTAATACAGCTGAGGATGGAACACCATGGGAAAATCGTGCTGCCAGCTTGTCATTTCTTTAGCCCCAGTTTGGATAAATTCAGGCGATACCTACACAAACCAGGTAGAAACAGTAACCTACGTTTTGAGCCACGTTAGAAAAATCTTTACAAAATATCCAAATACACGTAGGACTCGTAAAAATATAAATGGACTGTCAGTGCGTCAGTTTTTTTAGTTTCCGTATCTTCTCACTGAACTGAAAGCAGGTACGGCGGTCTACAGTCTATCAAGTGCGCCTAACTCGCACTGTCAGATGCTTACTTTTACTTATTATCACAAAATGTAGACTGGATTTGTCAATCTACCTCAACACATACAAAAGTATTAAAAAATCAAGCGCAGTATCTAACACTAGGCCTCGACTTGGACCATCTAAACGGCTGGGCAGACTTTTTTAACTGGACCTTTTCCATCGAATCTTAAACAGTTAAGACCCGATCGGAATTTCCAAAACTGTCCATTAAAACATACAAAAATCGAGCAAGAAGCATCTACTCTATCTGAATCAATCAGCGCTCGCGCTATAAATTCAATATGCAGACAGCTGTAGTGAAAAACCAACGAAGAAATTTAATTATAATGGTTTCTGCGACATTCCCCCATCGGCGTTTAGATGTTCCAGTCTTACATATAAAAATATATAAAAAAAGAAAACAAACTTCTTGTGCCGGGTAAAGCACCGGTTTTGCAAATGCAAATTGCACAGGAAAACCAAAAAAACATTATATCGAAAATTTGGGTGATGCAACCATTTAACAAACAATAATAGACTATCGAAGCAAGAAACAAATTAACATTTTTTGCATTAAATACGCCGACTGAACATACAGTTCAACCGGATGTTTGGCTCTTCGGGTAACGCAATAGTAACGGTTGACAATCGCATTGCACTGAGCTCCTCCGAGTCTTGAAAAAGACAAAAGGAGCGCGCTTTGAACACTATTGCTAAAATCCTAACGAGTGAGGACAGTTTTAATTTAACAGTTTAACGAGCATATAAAATAGTGCTTCTTGAAAACAGAGTTAGACTCTCAATTTACAATACCTATATTAACTGGACTAATTGTACAATTGCTTGCTCTGTTCGGGTTGTTTCCCCCAACTGTTACGCCGCTGATTTGCTGATATGCGCTTTTGCTTGGTGTCGAATCGACCCACTCATTAAAATTCCCCAGTGTTGCGCTTGAATCGTTTCATCACCCAAACCGTTCCGGAATTATTAGCGCCATTAACTGCCCCAGCAGCAGTACCCCCACCTTGAACAGCTGAAGTCGGAAGTTGGCTTAAAGGGCAACAGAGCCTCCATTGAAAATAACGCCGAAGATGGGATGATTCACTGCCAGCAGCAGTTTCTACCTCCGGCGGAATTGAAGATTCCCCTTGACTCTACAACAGCACTGATCTGGTTACCTTTTTCTGATTGTTTTTTTTTTGAAAGAGCTGCTGTTCGCCCCCAGCCTTAACAGCTGGGGCTTGAGATAGCGTTGGTAGCTGGATGAGGCTGCAGATACATCGAGCGGACTTTAACGCGGCGCTGCATCAAGTTGCTCTCGCTCGGTGGACTCAGACCGAACATGATGGCAGAGGAACACGTGGTCTTGTGAAGAGGTGTGGAACTGCCTTCCTGGATAAGAACACAATCATGCATTTTTCCTGCGGTGTTCACACATAAAATAATGGGCCACTTGCACGCATCGGTGTTTATTTGAATATGAATATATATATAT